TAAATACGTACTCGAAATAATAAATCAAAAAAGTAAATTTATGAAAAACTCAACTTTCGAATTTAGCCGATAATTGTTATTTATTGATTCGTGAAAAGAAGGCAAATAAATTAAATTTAAAAAAAAACAAACCAAATGCGATAAAATGCCATCCTTTTGTTAGTTAATAACCATTAATTAATGAACAAAAATGTAACGTGTAATTAAAAAATTACCTTTGTATGATCTTAATTAGTAAAATAATTCAAATATTTGAAATGTGCCTAGTTTAACTAACAACAATTTCACAATGAAGGAGCGTCCAAAAAATCTATCCCCCCTATCAATATGCAAATATACATCGAATATAAAACTAACCCGCGTTCATATTTTAGATAAATGTAGAGAAGTGACGGTAAGTGATCACGTTAATAAAAGTTCGATTTTTTTTACTTACCGATAGATGTTATTCTAAGTAAAAGATACTATTTTTAATAAAGAAACAGAAATTATTCATATATTTCGCAAATTTCAGGATTTTTGACATTCCTAATTTTGCAATCTTATTCATGGATTTCAGGGTGAATGAATAGAGTTGAATTCTATGTTTACATTAATGGAAACTTTAGTTTTCGTTTAGGTTCTGAAATATTGAAATTACGTATTCTTTTATTTTCATTTTATAATTTTAAAACATACTTGCTATCGATTGTATTTTCTTTGTTACAGTGTACTTACTTGTTCTTTATAAAATTGTCCCCAAACAGATTTTACCGAGAAGAAACTATTTGTCTGGTGTGCAGGTAGCTAAAAACCCTATTTAATGATGTCTGACTACAAGCATAAAAGTGATGCTCAAAAGAGAAAAGAGAAAAAAGATAAAATATCCATGATAAAGAAGACAACAAATAAAATTGATACATTTTTTGCTAAGAAAGCTACATCCTCTGAACAAGACAAAGTTACAACTGACTTTGGCTTACAAGATAAAACATCAACATGTGCAGAAGCACCATCTGAATTTGAAATCACACCTGATGAAAGCGAATTCGATGAGCCACCATCTAAGATTTTAAGGCCTGATTCCATGACAACCAGTACGCAGGTTACACATGCAAAAAGTGCGTATTTTTTAAAACCGGATACCAGCCATAATGCGTCAATTTCACAGGAGATGTTCTGGAAATTTCATCCAAACCAGCCTGTATGTAATATACCATTTAATAGTGCTGTTGTATATGACAGACAAAGGCATTCAGGGCATGAATATTAACAGAAAGTGGGTAACATACAATGAAGAAAATAAGAGTTTACATTGCTCATTTTGTCTGATGTATGCTCCCGAAAAAAGTCGAAATATACAGATGATCCAGGGCTGTTCTGATTGGAGAGACATTGCAACGAGACTTTTGGAACATGAAAAAAGCCAGTGTCATAAGCATTCTACTGATGCATATTTTCTGAATGCTTGTGAAGAGATCTGCCAAGCACAATTTGTTAAAGGAACAACTCTCCTTAAGAACCCAACAAGTTCTTCAGCATCGCTCTGTTTTAAAGTGTATAATTGGTGCAATATTTTACATTGGGTTTCAAGTTTTGTCTTACCGCGGCAAATATGGAGAAGCTGTTGCAACTGCATTTGATGAAAATAATCAGGACAATGCTGGGAATCTTTTAGAGGCTATAAAGCTTCTTGCAGAGTACAATCCACACCTGCAGGAACATTTGCAGAAGGTGGTTTTGCAAGGCAAACAAAAAGATCCATCTAAGAAAGGGCGTGGCAAATTTGTTACAGTTTTTTTTAAGTAAAACAACTGTCAATAAGATAATAAATATTATTTCAGACATGGTTAAAAACGAAATTGTGAAGGAGGTGAAAAATGCAGGGATGTTTTCAGTGCAAATTGACTCTACCCAAGACATTTCTGCCCATGATCAGTGTGCCATTGTCCTTAGATATGTAGTTGGAGACAGAGCTAATGTGAATAAATGTGAATAATTCAATTGGAAAATGCTTGCACAGCCTGTTACGAAATTCACTTGCAGAGATAGGTCTGACACTGAGGCATTGTATTGGAGATTCGTTTGATGGAGCAGCAAATATGAGTGGTGTTTACTCTGGTCTTCAGGCACTTATGAAAGCAGCTCGCCCAAGTCACATCCATACTTGGTGTTATGCACATGTTCTGAATCTGGTGATCAGTGATGCAAGCAGTGGATGTGTTGCATCAGTTAGTGTTTTTGGTTTGCTAAATGAACTATGCTCATTTTTCAATGATTCCTACTGAAAAGGATGAAGGTGTGGGAAGAGACCCATATGCAGACCAAAACAGGAAATAAGAAACGCCTAAGACTCAGACGTATTGGTCAAACTAGATGGTCAAGTTAGAAAGCAGAGCACTTCGTTGAAAATTGTTTGGCAATTACGCAGATCAGTCATCAGAATTTTTTCGGACCTTCTGATCATCCTTCAGAAGTAAGCGCAAAAGCAACTGATTTCAAAGGATCAGTTCGCTATGAAGCACAGAAATTGAGTGAAAACTTGCGTGTCAAATTTGAAACCATCTTAATGGCGTTTACATTCATACAATTTTTGAAAACAACACCTGTGTCAGATTATCTGCAGACACCAGGCCTGGATATCATGCAGGCTTGGCGCATGATTAACAAAAGCCACTGAAAATATTGAAAAATCTCAAGAGATTTTAAGGGCATTTATGAAACTGCGTCTGATTTTGTTGTTCGTGCAAATTATAAATTAGAAGAAGTGAAGATTTTTGTCCCCCTAATAGCTTCTCAATTTCAACCATGAGATCTAGTCGCTCAGCACCAGAAGGTATCACCGACGAGAAGAAAATTTTTGAGGTTTTATACCATAATGCGGTTATTGATGCTGTGCTCTCCAGCATGCGAGCTAGATTCTCGTCTCATGAGAAGCTCTATAAGCAAATTTCCTGCTTTGATCCAAACAGGTTTTCTGAAATTTTGGCATCCCCACAAAACATTGAGCTAGGTTTGATTGCTAATGCAATACCAGAAATTGACATAGTGGCACTACAGGATGAACTGATTTCATTTGCATCAAGCTACAAAGACTTGAAAAAAAAAGGGCTGCTAGAAAATATAAATGACAATGAAAATGATTCAGACAGCTTGGATTCAGAGGAGGAGGATACAAATGTTACTCAATCATCTGCCAAGACAACATGTAAGAATTGTTTGTCATGTGCTTTCAAGCTATTATCTGAGTACAGGCTGTGTGCAGCTGCATATGAAAATTTATATGCTGCATATAAATTTATTGTAACTCTAAGCATCACACAGTGCACATGTGAAAGATGTTTTTCTAAACTAAGATTGTTGAAAAAAAGGCTGAGATCTTCGCTCACACAAAATAACTTGGAGTCACTTATGCTAATTGCTATTGAAAAAGACATAGCAATGAAAATCAAATCAAACAAAGACAAAATTATTGATAAAATTGCAGAATCCTCTACTGAAATGAGTACAATGTTGTTACTGTAATCCTTGAAAGTTGATATTTTAAATTTTTGGCTCAGTAAGACATATTAAAATGTAAGTAATATTTTTAAAAGTGTATGTTAACACATTTTATTATTTGTTTTTAATATCTATTATAAATTTTATAATTTAGTACATTGTTTACGTGTTGATTCGCAGTAATAAAATGGAAATTTTGTTTGACATGTCATTACGCGGCTTTGTTGTTACTATCATTATGTGTCCATGAACATCTTTATGAGCTTCAAGTTTTCAAATCTTTTGATGCATATAAACGCATACATATCTTAAATAGTGATGGGACGTTTAATCGGAATCGTTAATCGTAAGAATCGTGTATTTTGGGGGGAATCGGAATCGCATCGTTAAATAAATACTTTAGATTTCCGATTCTTTCATTACGTTTCTCTTAAATTAGTCTGATGTTGAAAAAAGAAAACTTTTTTTTCCATATTTCTAACCGGTAAGAGAGAAATGTAACATTTCATAAAAATAACAAGTTATAAAATGAAACCAAAGAAATACGTTATTAAAATGTATTAATTTTTGCTCTTTTTTCTTTCTTTCATTTTTTAGGTCAAACTTATTATCTATAAATCCCACTTACACTTAACTTAATCAGTGAAACAGACACAGTATATTTGGAGTGGGAGGGGACTAACTGACTTTGATCTCCTTCCTACAAACAGTTTCTTAACTATTTTTTTTTAATAAATCTAGATAATGAATATTTTTCAGGATTTTTTTTTTTATGAATGCAGACATTGAATTTTAAAATTCTTCTTTAGGTGTTAAAAAGGAAAATAATTAGAAATATTTACGAAGAATAAAATTAAAAGAAATAACAAGGTCCTGCTTTAAAATATTTACAAAAATACAAAAGACAGTTTTTTAAAGCATTATATTAAAAAAAAAAAAAAAAAAAAAAAAAAAAGATTAATTTAACATTGAAAACGATTGCATAAAAAAAAAAAAAACTGGCTTCCGTTTCAAAACAATTCCGATTCCCGATCGATTCCCGTGATCGCTGAAAATTGGGGTTCCCTACACATACAGGTAGAACCTAAGTAGGCAAGGAATCGGAATCAACATTTTCTTGGAATCGGAATCGAAAAAATCAACATTTTCTAAATTAAATCGGTTTTTCTTATTTAAAAAAAATTAGGAATCGTCCCAACACTAATCTTAAACTAAGTTTTTTTTTCTTATTTAAGCCAATATCAGTCAGATCACCTGCTGCACAGCCTCTATATGTGGCAATTTAACATGCCTAAAAAAAATCATCTAACAATGGGGGCCCATTGCATTTTTGAATTTATAATCAATATGCATCCACATTTATAATTTTAAATGTAACCTTGAATATGAGATTAAAGTCTTAAAATCTAGGAAAAATGTCTTCAATTTTATATGATCATAATATAGACATTGACAAATCATAAACCTACATTTGCAATTCTTAATTCTAGTTCTCTTTAAACTGAATATATTTTTTCCAGTTTCATTGATGCATTTAATCCTGATCTGAAAACTTACCCGAAATTTTCTGATGCATATTCAGTTGATTTTGAACAAAAATCAGGAGAATTGCTCATTATCCCAACTGGATGGTACCACCAGGTAAGTAAGTCATGTTTAAAATGTTGCCAGTCTCAATCTGGAAGTGGAATGAGGAATTTTGTGCCAATTCTAATGAGTGTTGAGCCTTATTGAAAGCATTTTTGCTTCTCTTCTGTTACAATGTAACAATTATCAGATGACAAGTCATATTTTAACCAAAATAAAATGTTAGTATAGAATTCTTTAAATCATCTCATCCAAACTCCATGGCAAACAATATTTTTCAGAAAGTCTTTCTAAATGAATAATTCTTCACCCAACAACAATTGTTTACTATTCTAGTTAGTCTGTGATTACCTTGCAGATTTTAGAAGCAGAGAAACAAACAAATACACTGGTTTTGTTTATTTTTTATGGGGAGGGTGAGAAGGTAAGCTTATTGTTCACGGCAAAAATTGTCTTCTGTGTTATAAATTTAATAATCCCACTGACAGATTTCAGGATTACTTTATGAATTATCTAGACACTTATTTTCATCATCATTAAGTTTTAAATAATTGTTCTTATTGAAGTGTTAGTAAAAGTTATAGCTGATGAAGGCTGGAAAGACCTGATTAAAGCAACAGTAGGGAAGATACACATCTGAATAAATCATGGAAAAAGAACAATCCTTTATCCTAAAGACCAGAGATTTATGAGGTGGTGCTGAAAAGTTATTGGCCTGATCAAGAATAAATTTTAAAAGAATTGTGATGCTTGGTTATTTAGTCAGATTTTGGAAAGTGGATCAAACTAAGAAATTTCAGTACTCCCTAATGCAAATATTAAAAAAAACAAAACTTTACCTATTCAGTAGATATTCATTTTAAACACAATATTTGTAAGTAATTGGAAATAAATGATTGTTTTTTTAAGATTTCTGTAGTTTGAATGAAGGAAGAAGAGAAAATGTAATGTCACTTATCTTGTGGTGGGGGAGAAGAAGAAGTGGTGACAGGCAATTTCTTTTATAGAAAGATAGTGTGGCAAACCAGAGAAAGAGACAAATTATGGGCAGGAAGAAAAGCTATAAAGCTCCACCGAAAATAGGAGTCAGGGATTTTGTTCATTTTGTACGAGAAAGGTTGCAAGAGAGGAAGAAGAAGATTAAGAGTAAGTGTTGTGGAGTGATTTTACAGTGGAGGCTTGTATTTGTACTAAGTCGGTCCTAAAATAGGTTCGACGTACAAAACGTTAGGAACTTGATATAATAGGTATAACGTAGAGTAATCTAGTTGTGGGTGCTGATACTTTAGTATTCGACTAATGGTCGTCTGGCATCAACTGACTGACCGCCTTACTGAGTGACTCCCTCGTTACTCTTACTACTCCTACTTATTATAGGTGGGAGAGTCTATTAACTATAGAATAGGTGTGTTCTACTATAACATCCCCCCCTAAAACTTTACTCCGTAGGAGTAAACAGTTTTCTTTATTTATTTTTTATTTTTTACAGGAAATATGAAGAAAAAAACAAAAAAAAATTCATTTTTTTAGCAACATCGTAGTGTATCCCCTACGTTTTGGATCCACTTTTAAAATGATCAGTTGCCTTTGTTTTTCTCCTGGGTCGGCGTAGCTCAGGTAAAATTGTGGCAGGCATTGTTAGATCAAACATATTGAAAATCACCTCCATCAGCATTTCTTTCGCGGGACTGCTGTCAACTACGTCTGAAAAACATCGTCTGATCTGGTTACTGCACGTGAATTTTTTTTGCCTTTCACAAAGTACATCATATTGCCAATCCGCTTTTCTATTTTTTGGTACCTCCATAGTGTTACCAGAAACAACCTTCCGCTTTGAGCTTCTTAAGGATGGAGTCACAGTTTCTGTAGGTTCTTCTTATGGTTCTATTTGTTCTGCCTCTAGCTTCCCTTTTGTTGATCTTGTGCTTCTTAACGTTTTCTGTGGTGACTTCAGTTGACTTAAATCATTTAATAATACTGCATGTCCTTGGCTGTGGGTAACTCGCTCCCCAGTTTTTCTCGGTGTTGGCTTCATCTTTACTTTCTGAACCTTTTTTTTCACATATATCGTCGGTGTTACCCATTCAACTTTTTAAAATACACCGGTTTTCTCTAATCTGTCCAATTCTTTATCTATCTGTTCAATTGAAGCAAACAGCACATTCCTCCGTTTTTTGAATACCGTCTGAGCGTTTTCTTTTGGCTGTAATTTTGCCTCCATCTTGGTACATGTTCCTAAACCTGGAGAAAAAACAGAAAGAAATGTTCCCTTAATTTTCTTTACTGATTTTTGGGCATCGGAGTTTAAATTTTCTACCTTGTAACAGAAAGAATTTATCGGTAGATTCCATAATTGGAATTCTGTTATCCAATTCATACCAAGTAAGTTCGTGGTATTTTCTATGACAAATAGTTTAGCTTTTCGTGTTTTTTTATTTCACATGACATTTGTAAATAAATTATATAATAAATTGTATTTTTTTCCCGTCACTGACCTAAAAATTTTCTTTGTCTTCATTAACGTTGGTTTCCCCAACTTTTTAAAACACATGCAAATTTATGATAGATAGGTTGGAACCAGTGTCGAGTTGCATTTTATTTTTATTATTATTATTTCAATAAACAATTTTTTCTGGTTATTCCATCGTTCACCTCGGACTTTAATTTTCTTATTTTATTGTCTTTATTTTTTGACCTGCAGTGCGAGCTTTTATGACCAACTCTTTTACAGTTGAAACATTTTTTATTCCTAAAATTGCAATATCTGTATCAGTGAAGTTCAAAAAAAAAACATTTTCGGGAGTTTTGTTTATTTTTCTCCGTTATTTCACTTTTTTGCTTGATAATTTAATTTTAGAATTCTTTTTGATAGACTGACTTTCTTTTTTGCAGCGTATTTTCCTTACATGCAAAACACCACACCGTTTTATCTTTTTTGAATCTTTCTTTATGTTAACATATCTTATGCAGTCTTCTGCCAACTCCTGTACCGTAATCCTCAACTCGTTTTCCAATTTTGGCAGCACTAATTTTCTCAACTCTTTCCGATACCAGCCCCTGAACAAACACCAAGCACTTAAAATTGTCAACGCTTAACTCTGCCAGCTTGAATTCTTCACAATGTTTATTCACATTGGCTGCGTACGTTATATAGTCTTATTTGTCATCTTTCATCAGATTCAAACATTTCCACCTCTTGTGAAACAAAGATGTCTTTTTACTAAATAATTCACTTAATATATTTACCGCCTCGTTAAATGTTTGTTTCGCTAGTTTTTTTAGATTAAAATGTAGTTTACCAATTTGTTATGCTCAGCAGTTTAACTTTAAAAGAAGCCTAACCTTCTTTCCTTCAGACCACGAGTTGCAGTCCTCGTTATACACGTCCGTATATTTTTTATAATACTCCTCAAAAGTTATCTCCTCATCTGGACTGTACGTGAATATTTCAATTGAATTCCATATTGTATTCTCTGGGAAAGAATCATTTTGTAGATTTTTCTCTTTCCTCTTCTCGGTTATTTCCAGAATTTTGTTTTGAAACTCCCTATGCATCTGTTCCATTTCTTGTTGAAACTGCATTTGTCTAATAAATGTTTCCCCCTGTAGCTGCATCTGGAATGTTCTCTGTTGCTCTAATATTGTCATCTGTTGTTCTGACTGGAACTTAAAATATTCCTGGAATATATCTTTGCATTCCTCCATCTTTGCAAAAATTTACACAATGCCTAAATACTGTAGTGGGGAGGTCCAACAAATTTGCAATTCGTGACCTATTTGAGCAAATTATATTATCGAGAAAAAAAAAATGATTTTCTCAGTTGAGAATATGACAGATTTTTTCGTCACTAAGTTGACGTCTTGTCTTTTGAAAAACTTTGCCAAGTTTTTTTTTTTTAAGTGTGAATCCAAGATTTTGTCACCGAAATTATTCTGACAAGCAAATTTTTCTTTTTCCTCCGTATGAGTATGAATTTCGTCATCAAATAATGTTGTGGCAAGCAAATTTTTTTCTTCCACCATATGAATTCGAATCTTCGTCGCCAAATAATACTGTGGCGAACGAATTTTTTCTTCCTGCGTATGAGTACAAATTCCTTGTTGCCAAATTTTATTGTGGCGAACGAATTTTTTTTTTTCTCTCTTTCACCATATGAATATGAAGAACCAATTGGTTTCGTCAAATTAAACTGTATACTGTGGCGAACAAATTTTTTTTTCTTCCACTGTATGAATCCAAATCCCTCATTGCCAAATTATACTGTGGTGAACGAATTTTTTTTCTTCCACCATATGAATCTGAATCCCTCGTTGTCAAATAATACTGTGGCGAACAAATTTTTTTTTTTTTCTCTGTATGAGTACGACTTCCTCGTCGCCAATTTATTGTTGTTGAGTGATTTCACAGTGGAGGCTTGTATTTGTACTGTCGGTCCTAAAATAGATTTGATGTACAAAACGTTAGGAATTTGATATAATAGGTATAACGCAGAGTAATCTAGTTGTGGGCACTGATACTTTAGTATTCGACTAATGGTCATCCGGCATCAACTGACTGACCGCCTCACTGAGTGACTCCTTCGTTACTCTTACTACTCCTACTTATTATAGGTGGGAGAGTCTATTAACTATAGAATAGGTGTGTTCCACTATAACAGTAAGGAAGGATGAGAGAGAGATCCTGGGTGAAGCTTTTTTTTTTTTTTCTTTTTTTAAATTTTTTGAAGCACAATTTTCTTTTGAATAACTTGTAGAAAAAAAAGGAATAATATATCTGTAAACAAAGACATAGAATTCAGACTGAGACAAATAATTGTAATTATAATGAACAATGTCTTTCAGGCTTATAATATGGAAGAAACTTTGGCTGTGTCAGGACAAGTAATGAATTTGCATAATTATTTGGCTGTCCTTGAAGAAATTATCAAAGTTGGAAATTTGGAAAGAAACATTATTCCTAAGGAGTTTGAAAAACTCTCTGCCAGATTTCAGGTAATTCAATTCTTTACTTCCTCTATACTTCTGTCTTTGATTTTACTTATCAAAAATTTATTTTTTTATTTATAAACATTCTTTTCTAAAGATGAAAGTGAAGTAATGGTGCCACATTCATAAGGGCTCAACTGTGTCATAAGCTTCTTTTTCTATTGACAAATGCTTCTGTTCACTATAAATAAGAGTGCAAGAAAACAATGCCACAGGGTGTCCATACGTAGTGTAGCACTTATAGTGTATTCAGAGGACTGGGTTTCAACAGTAAAAGAATCAGTTCAGTCAATTGCCCAAGTCATAGTATCAGTAATGTCATTTTTCCAGAGTTTCAAACAAGCAGCTTGTGGCAAAGGAAATTTATTCACATCCACAAGGGCATAAACTTTTTCTGAAAACCTAGTGATCCATTTGGAGTAATCTGCTAGTATTCCTATTGTGATATAGAGAAAGTATCTATGGGCAAATGGTTCCAGGCAACCTGGATCAGGGCAGATCTTCCTATTGTATGAAATACCCAAGTAAAGACATTGAACATAATTTATAGGAACATTTGTCTTCATTCAGAGTTAGAGTTTATCTCTTAGCTGCCTCCATGAATCAACCATGGTTACTATTGTGCCTGCCTTCAGATTATCCACATATATAGTGACATTATCAATATATGCATATGTTCTTGTAGATATTCCTTACCTATAATTCTGTCAGTTACATGCTGAAAATTTGCTACTCCATTAATAACCCCAAATAAGCTTTTATTGAACTTCTAATAGTTTACACCCAGCTTCCTTTATAGTGACCTGGTGATAGGCACTTCAGAAGTCTAAAGAACTGTATATGTTATATTTAGTAATTTCATTCACAGTATAATGAAAGAGAGCTATAGAAGAAAGGTTTATTGTCCAATTTATATTTCCCCTATTATGGGCATTATTATATCCATGTGACGTCCCCCAGCCTGGCTTGTTCCTCACTGCTTCATTCCTCGCTGCTTCGTTAGGGTGTCGCCACTCCAAACGTGACGTCCGCCTGTCTGCGTCAGTCGTGTTGTCCTGTGACGACCAACTGGCTTGGTATTGGTTGCGGCACCCAAATGTGACGTTCTAACATTTGGTGATTCGGATGAGAATCTGGTTAGATTCGATATCAGCCTCGTCGTTCCCAACTCGCTTCCAACGTTTGGTTACCGAAGTAACTGCTTTGATCCCCAGTCTGCCTATCCACGTTGTGAATTGATCTTAGGCAGACGAAATCAATCAGTCGTTGGGGCCGTAATGCAAGTTGAGTTCGAATAAGGGTGGTATCGCACAAATATATGTAAAAGAAAATAAAATAATAACTCAAAAGTTCAAAGGTATCAAAAAAGGATAACAATATTTTATATCTGGTTGCTGGATACATAGGACTGTGTCTATCTCCCAACCCGCTATATGGATTCGTGACACGTTGTTTTTTGTTAGGTGAGTTTTAACATCTTAAGTTGTCTGTTCTTTAAAAACTGGTTCTTGGTGTGTCTTCAGGCGATAGTCGTAAAACTTGTTTTGGTGGTATGAATCTAAGTCGTTCTTCAAAAATAAATTGTTCTTGGATTGAAGATGAGTTCGGAAGTTGCGCGAATCTTTCAAGTCAGTTTGTTCTGCGAGGCGGATTCAACCCAATTCAACTGCGAACTGGAAACTCTGGAAAACTGGAACTCCAACTCATTTTCGCTTGCTGCGACTTTGCTTATATGGACGCCGACCAAAACCGGGGTGGGCTTTGTCGGGGTTTGAGGTTCCTTGACAATTTCAAATCCACAATCCCTTTTTTTGTTTTCGGTCAGGAAAAATTTATTATTTCCATTTTTGGAAGTCTTTTCTTCACCTTCCATCTTCATATGGGTATCTCAGAGGGCGTCAACGATTTTCCTACTTCTTCGCAGTAACATCTCATACCTATTCTCTTTAAGGAGTGGTAGAAGGCCTCCCCCTACATCATATGATCACCTCCACCTGGCTCTCGTTAACATTCAGCCTATGGCCGATCATCAGTGTGGGTGTGACCAGACTAGCCTTGTTTCTTAAAAAAAAAATATCTTGCTCAAAGAAAAAAAAGAATTATCCCCTCTTTTTCTTTTTTTCTATTTCCTTTCTTTCTTTTCTTTTCTCTCTTCTCTGGCCGCCAACAGAACAATGCGACCCGTAGTGTGATAACCTCAATTCCTATCCCAAAGTCTACTTTCACCAATTATCAGGTGGGTTTCATCTAGCAAAACACAGCCAACTTTTCCAATAAAATAGTTTCGCTGTCATCGCCAGATTCTAACACAACCCAGACCTTGTCTAACGATATCTTTCCATCGACAAAGACTTAACCTATTTTCCTTTGTTTTTTTTTTTTCAGCTCGTGTGTGGTCAGGGCATTCCCGGTCACAGAAAATCTTTTCCCGATAATATAAGTTCGCCACAATGACCCAGTTAATTTTTTTTATCTATTCAAAACTCGGTGTTTAGCTAGCCGATCTGGAACTTGTCAATTAGATTTTTTGCCAGCACCAAGTGGCTGTTATCTATTCCCGATAATATAAGTCCGCCACCACGACACAGTTAATTTTTATCTATTTAGAATTCTCGACAATGGCAATGAAACCCTTCACCATTTTTCATTATCAAAATTTCATTTCTTTCCCTTCTTTTCTTCCTTTTCCTTGTATCCCCAAATGGTGTCACAATAATACAGTACTACACAGACAAAACAGAATAGCTGAAAAGAAAAAGAATGACAAACATACTTTGTTCACAGAGAGACTTTTCTACCACTAAGACATACACAAAACTATATATACATATTTACATGTGTCCCATGCAGAGAAAAATATATCACATATATCTACACAGCAAGAAGAGAGTAAGGAGAATGAAAAGATAGGGTCTTACATATGATACGAAGATTCTTCTGTGTTTCTGAAGAAGCCATGTTACGATTCTACTATGTGAGGACATATATTGTATGAACCGGAAATGACAAGTCTTAGGTTTTCCCAAATTGAGGACTGGAAACCTGAGTTTCTGCAATAATATATCTAGTAATCTGTTTCACATTCCTCACTGCTACATCTTTGTCCTTGAACTTTACAGCTGGCTTGTTCAAATGCATTCCTTACTGTCTGTAAACCTTCTCTCTTCGAGGACAAAATCTGCCAGGTTTTATGTGAGCCTCAGTCAGTTATGCAGATTTTTTCACACCCACCTACAGGCATTTAATTAGTCCTAAGGCACTAGTTACATCACTGTGTATGGTACAAACAATTTTGTGCCTCTTTCATTGACAAGATAGGTCATGTCCATTACATCCCCCCACATCTCATGATCACATAGATAGCAGCCAGTGGGGCGGTTGAGACACCTTGTGTCTGCTGCTTCTCCAAAGGTTCACTCACTTCTTCAACAGTTTTTGCTACAACCCACTGATCCTCTTCACCATCACATCTGCTTGATTGATCAGTCACCATCAGTTGAATGGTCGGACTCATCATCCACCATTAGTAGACACATTCCATTATCCCTTGATGTGGCAACCTCAACCTCAACAGGGTCATCCACTACTTAAGGGTGATGGCGAAGGTCTCTCACATGGCACAGTATTCATTCTATGTAGACTCAAGATTCTGGTTACTGTTTCTTTTCTATATTTACTTGTGCATCTATTAGGTGATGTTTTTGCCAGCATCTCTTTTTTTTATATATTCTCTGTCTAAATTCAGCCTTCAGTGATGCAATGTTATCAACACCTTTCATCTGAACTTCGTAGGAGTACAACGCATCGACTGGAGAAGTCTCACTGTGAACACTATCCTTTGATGTAATGTTGTACCAACACACTGCTTTCTGGACAGAGTATTGCTTTCTGGCAGCGATCCGCTTTATGATTCTGTGTGAGCATTCAGCAATGCCATTTCCAGATGGCATATATGCACACCGGAATTGCAGGTGGATGCCTTAATCTTCACCAAATGTCCTGAAATTCCTGCTGTTGAATGCTGTGCCATTGTCTGTCAGGATATCCTCAGGTAGGCCCCTTTCAAGAAAATTGTCATGAGATGCTGGATTAAAGCAGTAGAATCTTCTCACACTAATGGTTGCCAAATGGCAAAGCAGGAAGGCTCACAGTCTATGAAGGTCAAGTAATAGGTGCCTCTATAATGAGTGATGTCCATCCACAAACAGTCTTTGCCATACATTGGCTGTCCCCAGTTTCCCTCTTTGCCATCAGATCAGTGCTGGATCAATTGATTGACATTCCAAACAGGATCTGACTGCCAATTTGATAGCCTCTTTCATCATGGATGGGATGATCTTTCTAACGAAGTAGGTTGTTTGTCTAACACCAGGATCTTCACAGTGCAGGTGTATTTTCTTAATCTGGCTGAACTCTATTCCACTGCCAGTTGCAGCACATACCTGTAGCACAGATTCAGCTTCATTTTTAATTTCCAGCCATCAGTATATCTCTGTAACTTAGTAACAATTGGTTTACAATCTGCAGTTAGCAAAAAGAGATGGAGGATAAACTTTTACTGCAACAAGGCTGAATAACTTAAAACGAAGCTTAGAACTGCCAAAAAATATTTCCAAAGATTCATGGTGTTGTCTTCCACATGGCTATCTGACCACAGAGTGAATGTCAACTAAACCCCACTTTTATAATAAATTAATCTTAGATTTTACAAGCTTTGAGCTGTAAATGTTTTCCTTTCTTAGATTTCTTTTTACTTTGTTTGTTGTTCAAGACAAAATATTAGATCCAAAAATAGAATATGAGGATGAAAGATATGGTATTTTGATTTCTTTGATTTTACTGAAAAACTGAATATTTTTGTTGAAGAAACAATTTGATCTGGAAATTGCCAACTGATTCTCTCAAAGCTTTGGAATCATTCCATCTGAAAATTGATTAACCTGTGTCTTGTCTCATTATTTTAGGTGCAAGCAATGATGGATTTATTACCTGAAAGGATTCTGGCTCGTGGCAGACATATTACAGAAATTTACAAAAGAACACGTGATGATCTCTGAATTGGAAGTCATTCAAATCAACTTTGAGGTTCATTTTTCTCAGTAAAAATAAATTTTCTACTTTTTAGAAAGTTTCTAAATTAATATATTTCTAAAATAAATTTTAAAGTAAAAAAAAAAAAACAAACAATTTGCATTATTGCTTAACTCAGAATAATTTTAAATGCTTTTTTTTTTATTAAATTTGTCATTAAAACAATAGTAACCAAAATAGTACTGAAAGAAAGTTTGAAACTGGATATTTCAACCAGTTTGAAATAAATTTAAAAAAAAAATGTTCATTCTTATTTTCTGACTGTGTTATTTACTGTCTTAAATATTCTTCTATTTCCTATTCTTGCTAACTTTGAAGATATAAAAAGTTGATTCACCATCAGAGTCTTTTCAGTATGGTAATCTTAGCAAAATCACATAATACTGCAAGGACTGAACTATAACACTCTGCCACTGCATTTAACAATCTTTAGTCAGTCAGTTATGTGCTATGCATGATACACGTGTAGGCAATCATTTTCTGCAGTAGGTTGCCATTTGTTTCTACGGTAGACCAATTGCCATCCAAGTCTCTAGAACTCAATCTGTCCTGCTATTTATCCATAATTGGTGGGAGAAGAAAAGGATTCATACCTTTCCCAAAGGTATTAGCATGTAAATGGATTCGACTGGAATTCAAACTCGAGTTCAATGAAATAAGACAATACTATTTATAGAAAAATTATACTTTAAATTTTTAAATTTTATATCAAAATTAAAACTATTAGCTTTTAAATATATTAAAATTTTACTTAGTTGTTAATAGAAACTTGTTAAATCTGACAATTGGTATGACAATATCAGATATTATTATTTTTGTGTCATATCAAATTGACTCCTTTTAACTGACAAGCTCACAGTTAATTCAAACTTGTATTCTCAATTGCTTGTTCAAAGTAAACAGCACAAATTATTCAAGAGAGACTGAGAAAGACCCAGAAGACATTTGAACAAACAGATGATGAGTCAATATTTGGTCATATTTTTATGTTTAGAATATTTGATACTGAATGTTCAATCAAAAATACAGAATTCACTCAGATGATATCATGCAATTTGATCTCAAAAATATTTTACTTTTTTTCTCATACAAAGCTGAGTAAATCATTATTTTGTGTTCAACAGTGTTTTGCAAAAAAAGCATACAAACAAATTTTGTTTAATCATAAAGTTTTTTTTTTCTGAAACAAATGTGTCAATATTTATTAAATCCTTTGATAAAAGATGTAAAATGTATAAAAAAAATAGCAAACATTCCTTCATAAAAGTCTGACATGTTTAAGAAAATCTCTTTTGGATTTTATTTAAAATTTTATTTAGTTTCTTTTTAATTTCATCAGTATTGTCTTCTCAATGTGCTAACGCTTTTGTTATCTTTTAAATATCTTTGCTATTTGAATAAATAATTCCTTCAAAATTATTTTGTGTGTTTGATCACTTATTTGTCTTGATAACAAACTAAATAGAAGTTTATTATTATTTACTATTAAATTCTATATTTATTTATAAATAATGTGTTCTTAATATCATATATAATTCCATGCATCATCTCAATATTATTGATGTCTTACTAAGTTGGAATTTGTTCTGAACAGGTCATTTATGTAGAAACATCAGATATAGATTCACAACTGTTCATGACTGAAAGTGTTTTCTCTTATAGAGCAATATTATTTCTGACTGAAAACACATGTTGAAATGTATGAACATATTTTCTTTAGTATATCTGCAGAAGATGGGCATTTCTCAAGATCAACCTGAGTAATATGATAAGAATTTATCATAGAAGTCAGTTCAACCTTCAGCAGTGATTTTAAGCTTATCACATAATTTTAGGAGAGAAACAATTCACACATTTTACCTATTTTATTTCTTGAATTTATGTAACACTAAAAAATGAATGTTATAATAATAATGATAATAAATAAATAAATAAATAGTGTAGGGATGTAGAAATGCTATTATTATTTATAATATTACATTAATTTATTACAAATATTAATACAACATATTAATACACTTCAACCAGGTCTTTCATTACTGGGAATTTTTACCATTCATTTGGAGCAGTTTAAGTTGAAGTCAGTCCACCTGAAAATCAATGTTAGTAACAACATTTGGGTGCAACTGAAGCACAACCCCAAATAGGAGTGGGGGCCTGAAAAGAGCCATTTTTGTGTTCTCAATCTTGTTTCAGCCTCATGCACAGCAGCAGTTGAAGAGGCATTCCTCCTCAGTCGTTGAGTCCTTTTATCAGCAGTTTCAGCCTTGTGTGCAGAAGTGTTCAGGTATGCTCTTCTGGAAAGCCAATGGCTACGTTGATCTTTAGACTCAGTGGCATTTTGAGACAGGCAAATTGAACATTCTAAAGACGATTCATTATCTCTTATTCACATGGCGGACCTGGTGGCAGTGGTTTTGCAACCTAGGCAAGTTCTTTTCTTTGGTTGCATGTCTTAGGCAAGTATGAATTGTCAAATGGAATGCATGGGCAAATAACAGAAGAGAACACTTTAAAGCTACAGGGATCACTAAGTTCAAATAACTTTAGGAAAGGTTGGAAAAATAAATGTTGAGTAATAAAAAACAAGCTTACTTATTACTACGGTGAATGCAATGCAAAAAATGGTAGGACAATAAAAAAATTTATATTGGGAACAGCTATAAATGACAATTAAAGCAACACCTTAAAACTGTATATGCAACGGAAAAGGTAACCTCACTTGAGAGAGATTGAAACTTGGCCAATCAATGTGCAATTTGGACTCAAAACCGGCACTGAAGAATTATCTATCAAACAAAAATTTTCATCAAAATTGGATGAAAACTGGAAACTCATAAACATTTTGATAATTATAGATATAGATTATAATATTTGCTAATTTATTTATACATTTGGCATAAATGATTCCCTTTATTTATTTATGTATCAATGTGACATTTTTAAGAGTGACAGGGTATTTTTGAATAAGTAGTAAGTTCCTAATGTTTATTTTGCATGGTTTAATTTTTATTTTTATTTTGTATAACCAATCATTTTTTATTAATTAGCAAACAATTTTAACAACAACAATAAAATTGGGCTTATATATTATTTATTTTATTTTGTTATATATTGTTACTTTATTCTTATTAAGCATCCCCACTGGTAGGAAGGAGCCCAAACTCGAGCACTTAGGCTGCTCTAATCAACAGTCATATAATATCTAAGTATTTGCAATGTCATGTTGCACATAGATGGGTATCTCTGCATGCACTTTTTGTGGGCTATGTTGAGGCCATATGCTTTAGTCATAGCCACATTCTGGCCAGTTTATTTTGTTATAGATGATGCACAGTGATAGTTATTTGGGTTTTTTTAAAATAATTTTCTCATGACAGTTACAATTAAAAGAAATAAGTAAACAAAAATTTACTACAGTAAACAAAAAAGTAAAAAATCAAAAAAGTAAACAAAAATTACCTTCCCTAATCAACCTTTCTTTCTCTAATATTAATAGTATTCATACTAATTTCTGTTGTATAGAATCTTTTCTCTTGAAACATTCCCCAGATATCTTAGTGCTTTGTGAAATTAATTTTAACTCTTCTATTGCTACCAATGAATTCCCTATTCCAGGCTATCTTTTTCCTTGTTGAATAGGTTCTAGGATACATATACATGGCTTTGGTGTTTACATCCAGAAATATTCCAATGGTAAGGGAATCATCTCTTGAGTCCCCAAATGATTCTTTCACATGCTTTCAACTTTATTGCACTTTGTTAGCTATCTCTTTTTCTTTATCATTCCCCTTTTTCTGAGGACTGTAACATTAGACAAAATATCTGGTAATATAGAAATGGTTCTCTCTCTACATTCATCTGTGAATGTCTTTGGTTATTTTAATGCTCATCATGTCAAATGGCTTAATCATTATAATGTTATTGATGTTGCAGACATTCTCACTTTTAATTTTTCTATTGTTCAGACAGTCTCTCAGTCAAATGATTTCTCTACTTGTTTCCCTAATAATTTTGATCAAAATGCACTTCTTTACTTGATTTGTTCCTTATCTCCTCTCTTGGTTCTTATTGAGCATTACAACTCTGTCCTCTTGGCAAATTAGATCATTCTGTAGTATCTGTTGATATTTCTTTTGTGTTATCTATTAGGTGTAAACCTCTTATTCACAAGCCTTCTTTCTGTTACCTGCATACTGATTAGGATTCATTTTGTGATTTTCTTGCAATGCTTGGTGTTAAATTTTTAACTTTCGTATTGAGAATTATACCACTCAGATTTCTTCTTGGGTAAAAGCCAGCATTGTTGCTTTTGGACCATTTCAGAAATACAAGGTGAAACCACAATCTTCTCCTTGGTTTACACCTGCCTGTTCACATGAATTACTTTTTCTAGCCATACCAACTTGATAGTTCCAATCACAATTATGATAATTATAAACATGCCCTCAATAGGGATAAGTCTTTGTTTGCTGACAGAATGAGGCAGCATATAGCCTCTAACAAGTTTAGTATTCATGACTACTGGTGGCTCTGTAATAGTGTGTTAAACAAGGGTAAGTCATCTATTACCCCTCTCTTCACTCAATTTGAGATATTATCTTCTTGCTTGTAAATTCTCTTCCAATTTTACTCTTGAATCACCTGGAGTGTTTTTACTTGACTTTCCACTTATAACTGAGTCTCTACTGTGTGATATGCACATAACTCTATTAATAGTGCCAGCTATTATCTCTCAGATCCTCACCAACAAGCATGCAAGACTTGATGGCATCCCTGCAATAATCCGAAGGAAATGTGCTGATGAAATGCTTCCTGTTCTCTCTAAACTCTACAATAAATGCCTTGCTGCTTCTTGGTTTTCTGCTTGTTGGAAATTCTCTTCTATAGTTACTGTTTTTAAGAATTCAGGGAAACTGTCTGATCCTTCTATTAACCTATTAGTATTCTACCTCTCCTTGGTAAT